AAATGTGGGTGGGATAGGTGAAGCACCCACACCTGTCTCCACTCTCATTTGCCCCAATCTAGGCCCTTGAGCAAGGCCTTTAACCCCCACCATCTGCTCCTTCAGGCTCCTTAGATAGCAGCTCTCTGCTCCTCACAGAGGGCTGTGGTAGCTCGGTGGTCTGTGATTGTGTCAGTAAGAGCATCCGGTGTAAAATTAACTGCCAGGTCTTTGTGCGACTTTGTTCACTGTGGCGACCCCTGAAGAAGGGAGCAGCTGAAAGAAGAAGAAGAAAAAAGAAGTGGGTCGGATTGAAGTCACCCGTGGGCCATCAGTTGAGTAGCCCTGGTTTAGTGTGTTAACAGCTCAAATCTTGTAAATGATAGCTTGATGTTTTCCTCCAGTATCATCATGTGCTCCCTCCTTCTCCTTAAAGTCATCCAAGTGGTGAGTTGGAGCAAGTCTGGCTGCTCCTGAAGCCATTACTGTGTTTTTTTTTAAATACATTATACATTTTGACCAAAGAAGATGCACACAAAACAGCAACAGAAAGGCAAAAAATGGCTGCCATAACACTGCCATCCTTTTAGAAAACCATAGTTTTATGTTTTTTCAGACACTTGTGCCTGCATCATGAGAAAACAAGACTACAGTAGTCCCTTGGTACTTGGCGGTTCGTTTTTCACGGACTCGCGCTATTGCAGTTTTTCAAAGTTAGATTGGACATATCACACAATTGGCTGATTGATGGATGAACTGCATGATCGGCATGGAATTTTAATTTAAAATAAATTATTTTAAATTATTTAGCACCTGCTGCACATGTCTGTATGCAGCCCACACTGCACAAGAAGCTCCCTCCTGCAATGTGTTGTCATGATCTCCGCTCTGCAGAGAAGTGGGCGTGGCCAAGATCGCTGGGAGGTGGCAGAGAGCTGAATCATGACATTCTATGCTCTTTTAGAGCGTTTAGAGTTTAGAAACATTATTTGGAATACTGAAAGAGTATGAGAAGGGTTTTAAACACCCTTATCGGTGGCGCAACTGGTAGAGATGCTGCCTCTCAGCGAGCAGGTCCCTGGTTCAAATCCCGGTCCGGGGGCCTTGCTGGGTGGAGTTTGCATGTTCTTTCTGTGCATCTGTGGGTTTTCTCCGGGTGCTCCGGTTTCCAAAAACCATGCATGTTAGGCTGATTGGTAACTTTGAATTGTCCCCAGGTGTGAGTGAGCGAGTGAATGGTTGTTTGTCTCGTTTGTCTCTATGTGTCTCTGTGATGGACTTGCGACCCGTCCAGGGTGTACCCCGCCCCTCGCACAGTGATTGCTGGACATGGGCACCGGCGACCCCCGTGACCCAAAATGGAAGATGTGGGTAAAAGATAATGGATGGATGGATGGATATACCAAAATAAATTACTACTTACTACTTGGTACTACTATTCCTACTTCACGGTTTTTCACTTATCGTGGGGCTTCAGGGTTCAGATCCCTGCGATAAATGAGGGACTACTGTATATTAAAATTCAAGAAGAAAACTGGGGAACTCCACTTAGACTAAACTGTGAAACATACGATGAGGAGGAAAGTTCAACAGAAAACATAAACATGGAGTGACTCCTCTAGAGTCCAGACACGAGTCTTCTCCACAATAATCAGGGTGATGAAGAAAAGTGTTGAAGCTCAGAGGCCTGGAGGACACTGGACTATAAACTTAGACACTGTTGGTTTGAATTTTTTTTAAAGAAATTGAATTTAGTTCTGTGGTGCAATCTTTTACATCATTTCATAAAGTAGTCGACTCTTGAATCAGAATTTCTCATGCATATGAATAATTTTGAGGTCACCTGTGATTGTACATGTTACTCCTGTGCAAACTTTTGCATATTTGCACGGCATCCATCCATAACATTTGTCTGTGCTGCTACGTTTATTTCAGGTTTTTATTTGTCTACAGTTTTTTTAGTGCTTCCTGGTGTTTGAATTTCCTTCTTTACCCTTTTCTTCTCCTCTTCTCTCACGTCACCTCTGGCACTTCTGCTTGCTCTCACTAAACCTGCAGTCTCGTCTCTGGAGCACTACAGCCCGCTACCCGACGTGCGCTCGCGCTCGCTGCGCTCCAGCCGTTCGTTTGGAAGCAGCTCCGTGACCACGGTCAAGATGACGCCGCTCTCCTTCCTCCCCGGGACGCGCATCATGAAATACCTCGGCATCATCAACATGTTCTTCATCAGAGAGACGACGTCTCTACGGGAGGTACCGTTTGAGCAACACGAGCGCTGAGTTGCACTGCGTTTTACTGCCAGCTGTGTTTTTGTTGAGCCGTTGGTTCTCTGCAGGAAGGCGGGGTGAGCGGCTTCCTTCATTCCTTCATCGCAGAGGTGTTTGCCATGGTTCGAGCCCACGTCGCGGCTCTGGGTGGAAACGCAGTGGTGTCCTACAGCATGAAGGACTGTGTTTTAATGGAAAACCCAAACAAGAACCAGGTACCTACAAACACAATATTTACTCAGATACTGCAAACTGTTTGTACATAATGTTTAAGAACCTTTTCTCATTTTTATTCTCCTAATATAACATGTTTGTTTTTACGTTGTAGGCTCAGTGTCTCATTAACGTGAGCGGTGATGCGGTTATATGCGTCAGGGAGACGGACCAGGAGCAAATGACCTCAGTGACAAACACGGGACAGACCTGCGCCGCTGATGCTACATGACAGTAAATCTGTCTTATGTGGCAGGAACAACTGTCCAAGTGGAGACACTCTCATACGTCTAGACATCCAAATTTAATGCAGAGTTAGCCTTAAACACATCCAAAGGTCCAAAACGTTCAGTTTGTGTGAATATGGGGAGTCCAATGTACGTTGGAAGAATGTGGTTCCAAGAGTCCAACCTTTTCTGATTTAAAGTAGCCAAAGGACCCCCTTTCTTTTGTATTACAGCTGTGCTCAACAGCTGCAGCGTGTCGGTCGTCCCGTGGTGTTTGAGTTCCATGTTAGGCAGCTAGAGCTAATGTGTCCGTCTGCAAACCACAAACCTAATTTAAATTTCTGTGCTAAAAGGGATGCAGACTGTTTCAGTGCAGACAAAATCTTGCAGCGTTTGGCTCTGGTCTGCATAAAGTGTCAAGTGTTTGAATTTTAGGGCACCAGAGGAATAAATCACAGTCCGGGGCCGGCATTTAGAAGCAAGATTCCAAACTGAACATGTTTACTGGTGTCCGATATTAATATTTGCTGTCAGTATTTTTTCTAAACAAGTTGGCTTACAGAAACTTTTTTTTTTTTCCGGCAAGTGTCAAATGACTGTCACATTAAAGTTTTATTTGTGATATTTTATTGTCTGTTTAGGTTACTGGCATGCATGAAAAATGCCTGAACTTCAGGTGTGATATACAACATGTTTGGAGAGAAAAAACTTCCCTTTTAGATCAGCTAACATGAATCTCAGTGACGATAATTTATAATAACATTTTATTTTTTGGCTTTATTTTGAATTATTTAAAATTATGGCATAATTATTATGACGTCTGGGCAAACGGTGATGGTTTATTGTTAAATATATATATCAACTATACCGATATGTCACGCAAAGAATCCAGCTGAGGGCTAGTTTCAGATAAAAAGAATAAAGTCTGAGATTTGATTAGATTCTTCAGGTTTGGTCTAAATAATCTTACATCTCCTTCGTCAGCAGATCTAAGATAATCCCCTCCTCCTCATAAATCTCCACTTTCTGTGTTACTCAAAAAACACTCACTGCTGAACTTTCCAGCACATGAAGCATCTTCTAGTCTTGATGCCACCTGAAAATAAATTGTAAATGTTCTCCAAAATCAGATTTTTGTATTTTTGTAGCAGAAAATGAAATAATCTTTACTTACTTTGCCTGTGTGGAAAGTTTGTGATTTAAGACAATGTGTCTATAATAGTGGTACTCTAATCTGTGCGACCAGTAGTTGATTATTTTTCTGTATTTGTGTCTAAAACTTGAATGTATATATTTCAGAGCTTTTTGCTGTTGGAGTAGCAGCATGAAGACACTTTATTGCCATGAATCTGTACCGCCTGTTAAAATGCACAATAAATTCATCTCAAACCAAACGTCTTGCTTTAATTAAATCCTAACATAGAACCACAGTGTTTATAAATAATCGTCCACCAGTTAAACTCTTAACCTTATTGGCACTTAGAACAAGAAGGTCCACAGTGATGATTTACTTTCTGTATTTGAAATAATTTTTACAAAAAAAAAAAAGTTTCCTAATCTGCATTCTAACCTCAAACTACTTTATAAGACATGCATAAGATCAATGTTTAATACTCGTGTGTGAAGAAATAAAGCCTAATTAGTTGAATCCACTCCTAAAAGAGGCCAATTAAGACGAGCGAGCAGTGATCTTTCACTTTTCCCATGAAACGTGAACGCAGCATTGTGTTCAAAGGAGCCGCAGCGCCATCTTGCGGCCGTTGTGATGAACTGAACAACCGTTTGGTCGCTACGTGTCTCCCTTCGCGACTGAATCAGCTTCCTTCCTCCGGAGGAGTAGCGCAGCGGGCGGCAATAAATATCAGAGTAGAGCCCGATTCAAACATGGGGGAAATAACTAAACCTCGGCGCATATTCCTGTGGTGCATGGCGGCCACCTACCTGGCGGCCTTTGTTTCCGTCTATTTGCAGATACCAGGTGAGGTCCAAACTGCTAACTGACTCAACTGTGTCTTGTTAGCTTGTTAGCTGGAAACTTGGAGCTCAGAGACTTCCTGTGCTGCTGGAACAGTCTGGAAGTGTAGGAGACACATCCCAACACGCAGCATTCTCTGAATACTTGAAGCTTCGATAAACTAGAGTCTGATGTTACCCACAGCCTTTTGTTGGACTTGTCTGCTGGATGTAGTTTGTAAAGGTAATCACTGCAAAGTTTAAAATCAAACATTAAAAAAAAAAAGTTTATCAAGTGGTGCAGTTTGTAAGACTTTTTTTATTCCAGCAGTTTTCCAAATACACTGAATGCAATTTTGAAATGCGGGTCCACGCTCAATATAAACAAAGCCCAGTCTTCATGAAGTGCCATGACTTTATCTAGTACTACAGGTAGTATCTACCTGGATTATTTAGCATGCATCTGGACATTTATCTAGTACTGTTGCACACGACATGTGAACATGATATTTTCCTGTTTGCATGTGCGCTGCCTACACTGATCAAAGTGATTTTGTTTGTGTGTTCAGGTCTGTATGGGAACGACGGGCTGCTGCCTGCACGCTGGCAGCTGCGGTACACTGGGAAGCCTCTGCTGGAACAGATGCTGTCCTCTCCCACGCTGCTGTGGCTGGGACCCCGGCTCGGCCTGGACACCCAGACCACCATGGAGCTGCTGTGTCTCATCGGGGCTGTGCTGAGCCTCGCTGCCACACTGACGGAGGCTTTCAGGGACAGCCTGGTGTTTTTCTGCCTGTGGGTCTTCTATCTGTCCCTGTACCAAGTGAGTTTTTAACGACTGAGTTGTTATTTTGTCTTTTTTAATATTTGCTTTATTAAAACCTTTATTTTTTTCCTGTTACAGGTAGGTCAGGTTTTTCTCTATTTCCAGTGGTGAGTGTTTTGAACTCTGTGATAAGATTTATTGTCACGTGAACGTTGTTTCATCATGTGTGTCCCTCCTGCCTTGCAGCAGTACGACAGACGTCAATGTAGTAAATGAATGTCCAGCATTCCTTTTAAAGAATGCATGTCCCCCACTACTTTTTATGCCAGAGTTTTAAACTAAGATCATTTTATGACTCTGACACAAACACCAAATTTTAGCTCCATATCTGTAAAACGGACTCTTTTATAGCCATTTTTTGTGTTTGCTTAGCTCTGGTGGCCATCTTGAATGGGGTTGACTGTAATAATTAGTCCTGATGGTTTCATTAAAATCCATCCAGTGGTTTATGAGATGTTTCGCTAACATTACAGGCAAACGTGCAGACTCTGATCTTCATGCGTCATCTTTTCACCTTTTTTTGTCTGTGGTGACATTTTCTTCCTGTCGTATCAGGGACAACCTGCTGTTGGAGACGGGGTTCCTCTGTATCCTTGTTGCTCCGCTGACATTAATCAGGGGCTCCAGGGCGGTCCGGGAGCACGATCGGGTGACCTTTTGGCTGATTCGCTGGCTGCTCTTCAGGCTGATGTTCGCCTCTGGCGTGGTGAAGCTGACATCACGATGTCCCACGTGGTGGGGTCTCACAGGTACGAGTTCAGATTCATTTCCCCTCCATGACAACATTTATTTTCTGAATGCCTACGCATGTTTCATAAACAGAACTTGATTAGCTCAATTTATTGCTTTAAATTTTTCCCAGCTCACTTTAATTTATCTTTGTTGAACAGCTTTGACGTATCACTATGAGACACAGTGTATCCCCACGCCTCTGGCCTGGTTTGCACACCAGTTGCCAGTCTGGTGGCAGAAGCTGAGTGTGGTGGGAACCTTTGTTATAGAGATCCCCGTACCTTTACTGTTCTTCAGTCCGCTGCGCAGGCTGCGACTCGGAGCTTTTTACATGCAGGTGAGTTGAAACTCATCAGCTCAAATGTAAAATACAAGACTGACCTGACTGTATATTACCTTTTTGTAATCTGATACTTTTTTTTCTCCCATCAATTAGGTGTTTCTTCAAGTTCTCATCATTCTCTCTGGGAACTACAACTTCTTCAACCTGCTGACCTTGATCCTCTGTCTGTCTCTCCTGGATGATCAGCATGTTAATTTTTGGCTGCGGAAGACGGACAAGAGCAAAGCAAAGAGCGACGGTATGAGTCAGCCTCCTGTGGTCCTCACTGCTTCTGTTCGTGAGATCACAGTAAAGCAGATCATTACTGAACTCTGAGGCGGAGCACGCTCGGAGAGAGCAGACGTGATAACGATCTGTTCACACTCAAAGTGGGTTGAGGATGATTCTTAGCTACTACCACACCAAATTTTAGCTGAATATCTATAAAACTGACCAAGTTAAAGCCATTTTCATGTTGGCTAAAGTTGATTAGCTGTGGGTGTAATAAAACCTGCAACACGAGGCACAACTTGCATTTTTACTCATCCATCCATTCATCCATCCATTTTCTTTACCCGCTTGTTCCATTTTGGGTCACGGGGGTCGCTGGTGCCCATGTCCAGCAATCACTGTGCGAGGGGCGGGGTACACCCTGGACGGGTCGCAAGTCCATCACAGGGACACATAGAGACAAACGAGACAAACAACCATTCACTCTCTCACTCACACCTAGGGACAATTTAGAGTTACCAATCAGCCTAACATGCATGTTTTTGGTCTGTGGGAGGAAACCGGAGTACCCGGAGAAAACCCACGCATGCACGGAGAGAACATGCAAACTCCACCCAAAAAGGCCCCTGGACCGGGGTTTGAACCAGGGACCTGCTCGCTGAGAGGCAGCAGCTCTACCAGTTGCGCCACCGTGCTGCCCATTTTTACTCATCATTCTTTGTAAAAAAATAAAAAAAAACAACAGGTCTCTCTTGTAAATGAGTCCTGGAGGTTCAGTGAGACTAACCTGTATAAATAAAGGTTGAATGAATGAAAATATTTAGTCCAATACTGTAGTCCCTCGCTACTTCGGGGCTCGTTCATCGCAGTTTTTTTTCAAAATAAGAGTGAACATGACACGCTCGCAGGTCTTTAGGGTACGGATCCCCATGATAAACGAGGGACTACTGTATGTAGAGTGTGGCAGTTGTTTTTTTGTTTGTAACTGAGAAAGTACAATTATAGATTCAATAAATACTAATGTACTCGATTATTGCTGGCAGTGAAAAAACATGTTTTAAGTCCAACTGTGGGAGGTAAAAACCCAACCCCTCATTAGGAAATGGTGGAGCACCCTGTCCACTGAATGGACCCTGCGGCTCTTACTCATCTGCCCACAGCTGAACATCCTCCAACATAAGGTCTTTGAGCATCTAAAAGAACTGGAACATGAGCTCTGAACGTTTCACGCTCTCTGCTCCTGTCAGACTCCAGTCTGCTGTCGTGGCTGTGTTACCTGTTGGAGATGGTTGTGTGGTCTCTGCTGATCTACGGAACAATCCTCTGCTTCGATCTGCAGGTGGATACAATGAAGAACGGCATCTCGTCCCGTACAGGTCTGTGCGGCTTTGTCCAACGTTTCATAAAACGATTAAAATGATTTGAAACTGTTTATTTGTGTTGTGTCTTCTGCAGCCTTCACCTACCACCAGTTCAACACATTTCTGAAGAGTGTCACCATCCCCTGTGTCTGGATTGGTGTCCTCTCTCTCACCTGGGAGATGGTCACTTCCATGTTCAGGTATGTGGTGCAATGTTGGTTATTTTCGATGTACGTCCTGGATGTCGTGCTGATGTGTATTTCTTTACAGGTGTGCTTGTGTTTCTGGTTTCTTGAAGAGGTTTGGGAGGATGGTGCAGTGGATGGTGTTCGCTGCTGCTGCCGCTGCCATGTTTGCTGTCAGTTTGGTGGGTGCTGGAGTCCAAAACCAAAAAGAAACTAGAGAAATTATCAATCCTGGATTGCTTATTTAAAATATTACAGTATTTAAATTTAAATTGCTTATTTAAGGAGGGAGATTGGGAGTAACAGGTGATGAGTGAGTGCAGTCTGGCACATGTTGTGACAAAGTTGACCCTACTTGAAATTGAACTTGAACTACTGTATTCCTATTTCGCAGTTTTTCACTTATCGCAGGGGGACGTGGTCCCTTACACCCGCGATAAACGAGGGATTACTGTAGTGAGTATGCTGAGGGAATTTGTTGAAGCAGCAGCTGAATTAATAATTAAATCAAGCAGAACAGACGCTAAAATGAGCAAAACGGTAACATAAAGGTTTAAATTAGTAAAACTGTGTGTAAAAACTGAAATTAATAAGATGATAGGTAAACACTAAATTCAAAATTGACGCTCCTGCTGCCTTTGGGTCAAGATGACTCATGAGGTTATATTTAAACATGAGGACTTGTGGGTCATTTTAGCCTAAGGGCAGCAGGAGGGTTAAATGAATAGATATAGAGATAAAAATTAAAATTATTAAAAGCAAAACTGTCACTAAAAGTTAACTGTAGCAAAACTGTAACTTGGAAACTAAAAGGAGCACAAGAAGATAAAAAATACTATGCTGAAGTGTGTGTATATATAATATATATATATATAATATATATATATATATATATTTTTTTTTTAAAGAACAATGTTTTTGAACAAATCAAGGAGATACCAATTCTCTGGTGGAAAACCATGTTAAAGTTAAATAATTAAAATAAAACTTTCAAAGATACAAATACCAAAAGTCAGAGCACAGTATTCCCAACTGAGCTGAGTATTTTGATATTCACTGTAAATGTTTAAAATCACACCAAGCCTGCAGGAGCAGTTTGGTTGCAAACAAAAAGATGTACAAGTCATAAGCAGGAAAACAGTCGTGTGAACGTTGCACCAGCGTCCACATAATGGTCTGGTTTTCCTCTTTTTCAGGTTCCGTTCACCTACATGGAGCACAACTCTAACGCCAGGCTGTGGCCAGGCGTGCGTCAGGCCTACGAGGTGGTGGATCGCTTCCAGCTGGTCAACTCGTACGGCCTGTTCAGGAGGATGACCGGAGTGGGTGGGAGGCCAGAGGTCGTCATTGAGGGGAGCAGCGATGGGGTCACGTGGACGGTTAGAAGAAAGTCTCATCATGCATGAAGGTTGAACAGAACCTGTATGGTCGCTATAAATAAACCTGTTTTTTCTTAAGGAGATTGAGTTCATGTATAAGCCGGGGAACCTGAGTGTGCCTCCTCCTGTCGTGACTCCTCACCAGCCCAGGTTGGACTGGCAGATGTGGTTCGCCGCTCTGGGGCCTCACACGCAGGCTCCGTGGTTCACCAGTCTGATGTACCGACTGCTGCAAGGCAAAAGAGACGGTGCGCAACTCGTGAACTTTTACAAATTCAGCACTACTAAGAAAGTCTTCAGAGATAGCCGGTACTTTAAAGTTTTAATCTTCTGGAAGCAGACGGTGTCTCTGTGCCTGAAATGATTCAGTGTTGAATTCCCTGGGAAAGCTATCAGATTTGTGTTTAATAAGGAACAAGTGGATCTCTTAAAGTTTGCATTTTGTTCTGCAGTGATTGAGCTGATCCAGGCGGACGTATCCAAGTATCCGTTTCAGCAGCAGCCGCCTGCCTACCTCCGAGCTCACCGCTACAGATACTGGTTTACTGAACCCAAGGCTGACGGGTCAGCGCTCACTGCTTCTCTCCCTGCACTGAAACACCAACACTTGAGTTTAATTCAGACTTACTGCATTACAGACTATTCAACTCATACTTTCATAAACCTAGAGAATGTGTTTTACTATGAAGAGTGCCTGATTTTATGTACAAAAAGCTGCTGTTTGTCTAAAATCATTCTTCTTGTCTAAGATAAATAAATTAGAAAATACTGTTTAAAATTGATCTCACATTCATACAAAGATAAAAAAAGACAGTTTGGCTTTGTTTTTTTTTGGCAGATCTTATCCACAGCGTTGGTGGAGGAGGGTTTATGATGAGGAGTTTTATCCCGTGGTGCACCTGGGCAGCAGTTTTCTGGAGAGCATGCTCAACCAGTTTGGACTGAAGGTAAATCTGTCTTTGAATTTAAGAGAAGAAGTTCTCATACTTATATTTAAAGACAAAAACAAATCTTTATATCTTTTTTGTTGATCGACATCGTTCAGGACGTCAGAAATCTACTAAGAAATAATGGGTACTATGATAGTTACTTTCACTCTGTCTCCTTTAGTTTCTGTTTGCAGTCACAATAAAAAAAAAGGGGTGTTCTGGGTGTCGTTCGCCTTTTCTGCTCAGAATACACCGAGCGAACAAATAAAATCCAGGGAAAAGAAAAAAAAACACTGTTCACTTCAGACTTCATTCATGAAGGACAGCAGGGTGACTTATTATTAGAAAGTGAAGTCATTAACAACAGAAACCTATTAGTTATATATCTGAATAATAGTCCTACTTCCGTTTAGTTTTGGACAATGCTGAATCAGCGTTAACACAATTATATATATATATTTCTTGTCTGTAGGACAAGTCGTCTCCTCGTCGTGTTTCCAACACCACTGTTGCTCAGGTGGTGAGGTGGGTGCGACCTCAGTTCGAAGGCGTTCCTGCCCCTGCACTAATCTGGACCCTCATCGCCTGCAGCGCCACCTTTTGTCTGCTCCGGGGGTTGCACACTAGGAATAAACTCGCAGGACTGACGTCATCGTCTCCTGAGGAAGCTAAGAAGAGCGATCACATGGAAGCTGCTGCCTCCTCAGACCACCTCGAGAAAACGCAGGAGCAGCAGACAGAAGAGGAGGAAGAGAGTGCAGAGAACATAGAAGACGAGGCGGAAAGGAAGGAGAAAGACGGTGTTTGTGAGGACGAGGATCAGGAAGAGGAGAGGATGGAAAGTGATGAAAACTGAACGTTTTTAACAAGCTGCAGGGAATCTTGTTGGAGACTGATCACCGTCTGCCTTCATAAAATGACACCAAATACCAAACGAGTTGTGTTTTATGTTCTTTTGTTTCCTCACCTGCCACTTTTTTATTGTTTATTTTAACCTGTACTTACATGATCACATGCATATCTGCAGTTATTCAAATATATTTGGAGCAAAAAACAAGTTTATTAAAACTTATTTGGCTGTTTCTGAACATCGCTAAAAATTACAAGCGATAAAACCAGAAAAAGGAATCGCATCAAGAGAATGTACAAGTTAATGTTATTACACCACTCATTTTTTTTTTAGTGGTGGTGGGAGGGGGGGGGACAGGTAAAGGTTTGTCTACACAAAACTTCAACAAACTAGCACACGTGTCCTGTCTGTAAATATTTTTGTGTAAAATTAGAATTGAAACACCACAGAAGACATAGTTGTTTTTGTATTCTTTTAAATTAAAAAAACTCAATTTGTACGAATTGTTTCTCAAAATTATTTGCCACATATAACAAAAAATACACGTCATAAGAAGAGATAAAAACAGTTCTCAGTGAGATTTAGTGAAGAGATTTTAAAAAGAAAGTGATGATATGCAAAAAGTGCCACGTCCAGCTTTAGTGTTGCAATAAACAAAGCTATAAATCATCGTTTACATTTTCATTGTCATCGCAGCTGACTTCTGTATCTGCTGGTTCACCACTGCAGAACCCCCGGACAGTATTTGTCGATCAGGGACTGGTAGTACGGCTTCAGCTCGTCCACGTCTGGCAGAGTGCTGTTTTTTGTGTAGAGGTCAAATTTACTGCAGAAAGAGCCAAAAGGTTTACATCTCAGGTCAAAGCCTAGCCCTGATGAAGCTCTCGAAGGAAGAGGAAGATACTCACTTGAACTCTTTGACCCACGGCAGCATCTGCCGGTCTTTGTCATTGCACAGATGCATGTAGTCTCCATGAGAGTGCCACGGGTAGAAGGAATGGAATCGGATCATGTACAGCCCCTGAGAAACAAAAACACAACGATTGTAACTCGTTCCTGTCGAAACGCCCTAAAAAATAAATTAAAACCCGTAAATGTGCTCATTTCCTCACCTCGACGGGGATGCAGCAGTTGTTGTGCTTCATTCCTCTGTAGAGATATTCTGAAAGAGTTCGAGAACACTCATGTAAAGAAGGACTCCCAGTATGTTGTGTTTTAAACGTTGTTGGTACATTCAGCTGCTTTTGGTTCTGGTCTCATACCGTCATGGCCCCAGGACATGAGGACCCTGTCAAGGCCACAGTTTGGTTCATAGATCCCATATTCAGAGCTAAAAGATGAAAGAAAAACGATCAACTCCATGTTTGTTAAGCTAGTTCAACCAAGAACTGTAAGGCTCGTGTTTATGACCCTTCTGCTCTAAGTGGACTATCGAGGCTGTCTTGATGCTGTTTGTGTTTTAAGAAAATCACACTTTTATGCAAGTTTGAAAACTGGTTTTGCAGAACTAAATATTAGCCCTGAATACTCTTTATTTTTTGAGAAATCTTCTCTCTGATTGATCATTTTCCAGCTTGCAAAACTAATGATTATTGTTTTTTCTGTCCAGTTAGATTCAAACTTTACCCTGCAGGACAGCGAGTCCCAAAGTTGGAGTCGGGACCCCATTGAGGGTCACAAAACACCAAGTCGGGAGTCTTAAGAACTCAGGAAAACAATTTCTACTATAGCATTTTTCATCCTAACTGATACGAAAGCTAAACGGAGGAGTCAAATGAAAAACCAAATGAGTTTAAATCATTTGTGTTTACCGTCATTGAAACTGAGCTGCGTGCTGTCAGGTTTAAAAGTGTTAAATATGAAGATTTGTTCAGTCAGCTGTATGAACTCCAAACATCAACACCATTTTTGTCTTGACCAAAGAGTGAGAGTACTTACTTATACGCAGGGTTTTTTTCATCTGGGTTGTCTGCGAAGGTGTTTCTCAACACAATCGAGTTTTGAAATTTGCATCCGACGGGGAAGGTGTCGCCCACGACAGCCCACTGCAAAAACACACAAGCTTCTGTTAGCAGAAGCTGCCACAAAACATGCCTTGTTGTGCGTAACTCTAAAAATAAATCTCATTTTCTCAGAGGATTTGAACGACGTCGCTGCAGCTGTACGGCCCAAATGCCAACATCAGCTTTGTTGTAATCTAAATTAAGGTCAAGGTTTCTTTATTGTCATTCGCATGTGGTACATGTGGTGGAACGAAACTGTGTACACAGGGTCCCAGTTACATCCAACAAAAGTATAAATTAAAGAAAAACAGTAAAAAGATCTAAGATGTGAACTAAGAAAAACACTAAACGAATACGCTAAACACTAATGGTGCAAAAACAATACACCGAACAACAGCAGCACGAACACGAGTCTGTGTGAGAAGATGAGTACGAATGAAGACAGCAACATGAAATAAATCAGCAGCATGAGATCAGCAGCACTAGCAACAATCAAGTGGCATTACAGTGATTTTTTTCTTCACAATGATAATCCTGATTAGGGATTCGTGAGTCTAACAGCTTCAGGGTAGAAGCTGTTCCTCTGTCTAGTGGTTCTACACTTAATGCTCCTTAACCTCATGCCTGAGGGGAGCGGGGCAAAAAATGTGTGTGCTGGGTGAGTGGGGTCCTTCATGATGCAGGTGGCCCTCTTCTTGCATCTGGAAGTGTAGATGTTTGTGATGGTGGGGAGGCTGACTCCAAATTAAGAGGAAATGTCTACATTTTGATGTATGAACTAAGATGTTAAAGCTGCTGCCAGTGACTCATTATGGTTACCGTGGTAACCACACATTGTGTCGCTCCCTGACCACCCAGTTAAGAGGCAAACCCAAACCCAAACCCAAACTGAAAAAGGAAGATGCTGCATAAACTACACGTCATATCTTTAAAATCCTTGAACTATGAGCGTCAGAAGGCTTGGATGGTCACACGTGACATTTTTTATATTTCCACAGTTTTTACTGAAAGACAGAAAGAGCTTATTTTCCTGTTTTGCTGAAAAAAGCAACGGTGGCCTTTAGGACCTGAGTGTGAGCTCTTTGCCCTCTGAGGGGATTTAAAAGACAACCATAAGCCCTGAAAGGCAAAAGAATGTATACCTTGTTTATAAAGCTATGAAAGAGTTGCAGGAGAACAAAGAGTTTGCCTAAGATTTAACATTTTTAGATGATTCAAAAGTTCATGTTACATCAACGCCACAACATTCTGGGGAAACACTGGTAAAAAAGAAATGATTGTAATTATATTATTGTGTAATAATGGTAATGTGGTTTTCCGACCTGTTTAAACGCTGAACAATGTTCCTCCTGTGAAGTGTGTGTGAGCTACAGAGCTACAAAGTTATTTACGATTGAGCCACAATGATTCAAGACAACCTATTGCACCAAGATCGTAATAGAAGTGCTTTCATTCTCTTGCGCTGGCACACTAGGATATGAGCTGTACGGACTGATCTGAGGCAGACTTACAAAGTATACAAGTCATTCGAAAAGCATGAGCTAATGAAATCATTAAAGTCCAAAATACAAGTTTGATGTCTTGCCTGAGGTTCATTCCACAGAGCCAAGGTCTTCCCAACGTCATGGATCAGGCCTACTAGCTGGAACCAGTCTGAGGTGAGTGTAAGAGAAATAAAGTTATTTATCAGTCTTACATAAGACTAACTATTATCTCACTGCAGATGACCTTTATCTGGGTGTTCTTGGCGGATGCCTTCAGCAGTCTGGAAGGCGTGAAAGGAGTTGGGAAAGTCGACATCCGGATCGGACTCGTCCACCAGCTGGTCCAGAGACATGAGGGCGTCCATCATCCCCATCTGGGTGTGGTTGAACTGGGTCCATTCAGAAGACTGCAGAGAGATGGTACAGTATGATCCAGGTTATTTAGACTTTTAAAATGTTTTGTTTCCATACAATATGCTGACTTGTTCATACATTAAAGGACCAGATGTGAGATGAATCAGCAAACAACAGTTTGGTGCATCGTTGAACAAATTACATAAACGTGAGAGAACGTTTATGTCAAGTCTATAATATAATATCAAGTCTGCTGATTCAAAACCAGGTTGGTGATGAATCAGAAAACGACATCAGAGGGCCCCTCAATCCAACATTTGGAGCGTTGTGAAATGGATTAAATAAACATTTTCTTATTCTTAGTTAATGTTTTTAATTCTTAACATTTTGTAATATGCCAGAAAGGCAGATAGAAGGAGGTCACATGGGGTTGTTTATACAAATTCAACGCCACCGATTTTCATCTTTGGACTCTTGTCCAGACATCAGATTACTTTTGTTTGATCAGTTTGACATCCTGACCGGATCAAACCCCACAAAAACAAAAAGATTCAAGGACACTTCTGTCTCTCATGACTCAAAGTTAAAGAAGAATAGAGAAGAAATGGCTTTTTTTGTTGTTGTTGCACAGACAAACATGCTCTACCTGTGCATATCTGGAGACAAAACCATCATCTGAATGTTCCTTTATTTCAGATTTGCTCACCTTTGTCTTCACAAACTCCACCGTCTGGTTGGTGTGCATCAGGCTGTACGTTTTAAAGACTCGGCTGAAGAGAATTCCACTCTGAAAAATAAAACTGCACACGATTATTTAAACTGACTCAAAAGCTTCAAAGAAGTTATCCTGATGCATGCTCAATAATCCAGGTAGAAAAATCCAGAGGACCAGATTTAACTTTTTTTAGACTTAAAAGAAGTTGATTTTAATCAAAAGGAGTGCTTTTTAAAATAGAAATAATGTGCATTAAAGAATCTGGAATAGAGAAGAGCAGTTTCTCTGAAACACATTGAGCATTTTTAAGCAACAATAAGTTATTTTTATTTTATTTCATCTGCCATAAAACTCAAAACACTGATTTTTATAGAAATCGGTATTTATCTATTTGGGAACCTTTTTTAAATAAAACAAAACACTTTGCTTTAAATGAGCACAATAAGCAGAACTAAAAGTTTTAGCTGCTGAACAGATTGTAAGCTTCTGTGTGATAATGGATAATTTTCCCACATGTTTTTACTGCAATATTTAATCTAACTGCAGCTTTTTTCATTGGAAAAAAAAAATCCAAATGAAGCTTAAATTACACAAATTAAACAGGTTCACATCTATGCTCTGATCCCTAATAATGACGTTCAAATGTAAAGATTTTAAACGTGATGTTATTTTTTTATGGCTTGAATTTCACCACAATTATATTTTTTTCTCTCCACTGCAGAAAAATCTAATTTAAAGTTTATTTTTCTGTTAAAGATTTTAGTACCACCTTATGTTTGACTTTATTAAGGTTAAAAATTGATTAATTTTTTTTTCCCCAAAAATGTACAGGCATAGTATTTTCAAATAAAAGTCTTGTAACTTGTGAAATTTTTCATCTTTCCTTAAATAATTGCAGAATAAAATGTTTGTTTCTGTTTGAAGAGAGGCTTCAGATTACCTCAAAGTTTCTGTAGTCCTCCTTCTCCTTTTGCAAATTTGGCCGATAAGCCAGGGACGGATCTGGACCCTGTGTTTGGAAATAAGAGCGCAGGAAAGATTTTCTGATCATACAAACATTAGTTACTCATAAATCCCCCCCAAAGTGTCAATAAAACATGTAAAACTGTATAAAATGAGACTCACGATGTTGATCACCCTCATGGTTGTCAGAAGAAGCCCCAGCAGGTTCAGGTCTGACTGCCTGCTCAGATATTTATGTCTCCAGGTGATTGAAGCTGTGATGGGTTTGACCTCTGAAGTGGTTTTTTTTGTTTGTTTTCATGAAGCACACACTCATGATCACTCCCAATTTAACCAGCCTTACCTAATGGGGTGCCCTGTGTTGACCGTTGGCCTTGTTCGAGTGTTTGTGTGTTTGTTACAGGAAGAGATTTTCAGTAATCAGCAGATTACACGTTTGGACTTTCAAAGAACGACTCATTGATTTTCATCATTTTGTTATGATCCCAACAGAGACGCACACGCTGTCTTATGCTTTCAGGTTCTTTCTTTGTACTGGTCCAGTCCTTTCTGCCAAGAGTATGAATTCTGAGTACTGACCATTTACGCACGCAGCAGCCCCCCTATCTGACGGCAGATGACCTGCTTTTCTCTGTCAGCTGATTCAAGTTGACCAAGGGGGGGTCAAACAAGATAAATCAATGGATGAGCAAGTATTTACTGTCTGTTCCTGACAGTCCAAACTTCCTGCTGGGTCTCAGTGGTTTTGCATCACTCACACAGACAATATCTGCTCACAATACGACTGATCAATAATAATGAATGATGTGAAAATTGGCTTTTTGTTCCAGTTTATGACTCCTCTGTGAGAGGTCGGCAAACACAAACGCTGCCAACAAATATTTGACGAGGATGAAGGTTTACTGAGTGTTTGTTTTTTTCTGCAATAGTGGTTTGACGTCCGTTTATCTGTTTTACAGGCCTACTTTGTCCTGATCAAGGTCACAAGTCTGTCCAGTACAAATAATCATGGGGCCAAAAACTTACACTACAATCAATTTAATGTATACATTGACTTAAAGTACTTTTTTTGTGGTGGAGAATCTGATTTCTACTTCCAAACATAAGCACCAAAAGAACACTGAGCTTCCTGCTGTGGGGTGATGTTAATGACCTCCGCAAGACGTTTCTGAGAAAATAATTAAAACAAAATAACATTATGAGCTTTTTCTGAAGTTGTTAGAAAACTAAGATGACATGTTAAGACTTACAAGGAGCAAAGAGGCTTGGCCCATCTCTGAAATCTGATTGGCTGCTTCTGAAGAGCAACAGAAGTGTTGGAGCCTAACAGCTGGCTTTTCACTGAGTGTACACGTCACACCGAGTGCATTAACAGTTTGTTGCATTTTCAAAGCTGTAAGATAAAAAAATAACTACTCAGTGCAAAAAAATGTGTATAAAAGTGCACAAAGTTACCTGCTTTAGTTAATGCAACTTACTGGTGTTTGTTAGGTCCCGCTCATAGGAAGATTTGCAGCCTATTGTTAACCTTTCTTCTTTTTATTTGTTTAATTTATTCAGTTTGTGATAATAAAAAAAGGACTTTCTTATGCTGAAGTCATTAACAAGAAACTTTATAAACCACATGGAGAAGAGGGAAAAACAAATCCTGTCTCATGTGAAGCTGCATGAATGAGACAAACAGCCCTTTTTGTTTCTGCACATTTCTGCTCTTCAGGATAGAAAACGTGGCACCTTTAATACCCAAAGTAGTTCTTGTTCTTGTGTTCAATGGAGAGCATCCTGTGCTCCAGCAGCAACGTGTGGCATGGAGGCTGCACAGCTGCAGAAAGAAAAGCTCTGCAGGGAGTGGTGAAGGCTGCACAGAAGTCTGTTGGAGTCAGCCTCCCCACCATCACAGACATCTACACCTCTAGATGCAGGAAGAGAGCCACCTGCATCATGAAGGACCCCACTCACCCAGCACACACACTTTTTGTCTCGCTCCCCACAGGCAGAAGGTTGAGGAGCATTAAGTGTAGAACCACTAGGCTGAGGAACAGCTTCTACCCTGAAGTTTATTGTAGCCTACTGAAAAGAATCGTACAGTTAAAAAGCAGAATAATCTTTTAATGCTCTGCAGCTTTGATTTGTTTTAAAAGCCTGTTCACATGTGAAGAGGCCTCATGTGGATCGACTGCAGGTTTCCCACACTGACTGAGGTGATGGAAACAAGAAAGTCAGGCTCTGATTGATTTTAGTGCAAGCCTGAAGTAAACTGAGCCGGTTACGAAATGGTCATACGTGTCGGCGTGTGCCGCAGCTCCATTTGATGGCGTGTTCAACAACACCGAGAGGGAGAAACTTTCCAGTCGGTTTGTGATATGAATGGTCTCACTCACTCCTCCAGCTTAAATGTTTTGTTACACAAGTCTGCTGCTGCGAAACCAAAGTATTAGTCAAATGAAGCAACAAAAGACGACTTAGAGTGATGTTTTAATGTGGTTGGATGTTTAAAGCCGAAACGTTCATTTACAAAAATATTTTCAAATTCAAGTCACGCTGAATGGAAAGGCAGATAAAGTGCTTTCATGCATTTCTAATAACAAATGACTGTAAATCTACAGAAACGTGAAAGGCTGAACATGTAGTAAAAAAGAACAATCTCAAAGAAAAAAGTTGATGGTCTGCATTTATAGCAGGAAACAGCGTTACAGGTTACAGTGAACGGCACTTGACAGTGTCCCTGACCTCCTTTAGACTTGAGAGACTCCGTGTGCAGACTGGCCATGGATTAGGGCTAGCAGACACTTTGGCTGATTGTGTGCACTGTGGACTTCAGGGTGACGGGTTATCTGGGTTTGACTGGCTGTTTCTGTTCATCTTAAACTTGTTTGCAGGGGGAGATAAATGCGCCTTTAAGAGATTATTGCAGAGCGCAGAAAAATTCAGGCAGCAGGATCAACATAACAGAGGGTTTAGTTTGGAAAGTTTGAGAAACACTTTTCTTTAGAACTTCAGTCGTTACAAAATGTCAATGATGTCATGACCCACGCTGCCTGATAACTGAAATGTCAGTGCTAAAATAAAAACGTATTGGATCTGGTTCCTTGCTTATCTTTACTGTTGATCATTGTACCTAATCCGAGAATTAATTGTCTCTGTGGAAACGTTTTGAGTAATCATCTTGCCTGTCATAGATGGCTGTTTGAACGTCCTCAGCTCATGGAAACAGCGTGATCTCTGACCACACTGGCCAACTGGGGACCTAATCAAAGTGGGCCATGTTAAAACAATCCCAGTCTTACATTTTTCACAGCTGTTAAGATGCTTATTTTATAAACCTTTACTTCACGTTCACTTTCACATTACATGGTTATTTATTAAAAGTTTTCAGATTAATGTTCAAAACAGGGGAAGGCCTTTTTGATCATGGCCACACTTAGACTAACCATTAGCTTGTCAATCTGGTCAGGATTAAAGGAATAGTTGGGTGATTTTTGAAGTGTCACATTGTCAGATAGTACATAGTTTGTGTTGTATGAATTGTACAACACCAGAACACGTGGTATGAAGAAACTGACAAAGTTTTACTCAAGGCTAGGTTAAAGGCTAGCCAGTGTGGAACCTCTTTTGTATTGTGTTCAGGCTTTTAAAGCAGTTTATTAAAAAGGTTGCTCTGTGGTACTATGCTGATCTCCTGAGGCGGTTGCCTGAATCAGTGCACTGGTAGCTGTGTAAACTTTTGGACTGACCAGATGCACTCATCAGGTTTCTGAGGAGAATGACAGTCACCTACAAAACAACAAACTAAACCAATGGTGTAGTGCAAAAGGATAATGCTATTAAAGGAGCCCTGGTTTGGCTAACTGTTAGCATGGAGATGAACTTCTGCCCTTTTCTCTGTACTTCCTGTTTTACATCTGATGTCACAGCTCATAAGGTAACTATTTGACAAAACATCACTTCAAAGATCACCAGACCATCCCTTCAAATTCAATTTTTCCAAACTTCAGTAGCTCAAAGAGCTATCTATCGCAGGTAAGCTATTCATTGTTCATAATCTTTCCACAGAACCCTACTTCAAAAATAAAATCTGAACTAACCATTTAAAATGGTAGTAAAACTAAGTTCAAGTACAGATGAAATTTTTGTTACATGAAGTAAAATATGAGATATGACACATTTTTATGTGAACTGTCATCAGGAAAACACATCTCCATGGAAACGATGGAGCAAAAGACGAATCTGGTTCAATTGTTCTTCTGATAACAGGTTAACCTGGTTAAATGTTAGGTTAACCTGCTACATTTCACCCGGGTTGGTTCAAAATCAGATCCTTTGTCCGCGTACATCTCTATTTTATTTTCGTGTCACGTTCACAGATTTCGGCAGTTTCTCGGCAGGATCTTGTGAGACTGTCACAAGCTGTGAGGAACCAGAATCTCTTTCAGGATCAAAGCCATGAGTTCATCGTTGGTCCATCAGAGGAGCTGGATGTTAAAATGAAGGCCCCGGGGGCTCAGCCATAGCTGTGAGGGCTGCGGGGGTTTATAGGGGAAGAGTCTTCCCTCCCGCTCTGTCCAATCAGCTGGTAGAGCCGATGGCTGAGGTTTTGCACCTGACAGGTGCCAAGGGCGCACCCCACCCTCATCAGGTGACCATGACCCCTCGCACCACTGCTGTTGGCATGACGACGACCCCGTGACCCACGCTTCCAGATTGGCACCTGCAGCTGCAGGTTGTACCCATAAAGCGACAGGTCAGATGACTTCAGTGAGGGGTCTTTGTGCCATGAGGCTCTCCAGACTTGGTCTGGGATTTGATTCTCGATGGCGGCAGAAGGATCAGACGCTGTCGGAAGGATGCCAGGGGAAGACGGCTCTAATTCAGACGTTCTGGATAAACTCAACCTGAAACAAGAAGCGAAAAGGAAATGAGGGAGGAAATATTCATAGACAGAGCAAAATCAGCAGAAGACTGACACAGGTCCTGCTCCAGTTTCTGAGAGAAACCCCCAGAAACAGAAGTTCTGTGGGTCAGTCCTTTTTCAACATCTGAAATGTGAGCGAAGACGGACTGAAAGGAAAAGAGGGGAGAACAAAAAAGTGCATTTATAGAGGATTACAGAACTACAAAGGGCTCTTTTTAAAAATAAAAAGGTGACCAAAAAAGCAGAAAAGTTCACTAATGAAAACCAAATTTGATCACGATCCATTCTTCAATTGTTGTTGTTGTGTTGTTTTAATTTTTAACCATATTTATATACATGTAACCATAATTTTTAACCACACAAAGCATTTGTCTTTTTTTTTTTCTTCCAGGAACAAGATTGCAGACTTAATTTAAGATGCAGAGAAAAAAAAATGTATCAAAATAAAACAAAAGCTGACAGAGCAGTTAAACAAGATACAAAAATATAAATAAATAAAAATAACACACAAGAAACAAACTGGGAACATGCAGGAAACAAGCAATATGGCAGCCTGAAACCAGCAGTTAAAACAGACAGGAAGTGATCAGACGAATGGTAACAGCTGATGAATCCAGGAGCAGGCTGGAGATGAGCACTGGGACTGACTCGGGGTACAAAGGGAATGGAATCAGAGAGAAATAGGAAATAAAGTAGAAATGCATACGAAAAGCAAACACAAGGAACAAAAATTACAATAATCCATAATATGGAACTAAATGATATCAAACAACAACCCAAAGCTGATGAATCATGACATTTTTTTTCTTCTAAAATTCATAGAAGGCCTCTAAATAGTTTTGTTTGCTACTGCTGCTTAACTACATGCATACCCCCAACTCAAAGTACTCAAAGGTTCAAGGTTCTTTATTGTCATTCGCATCACATGTGATCCATGAGATGGAACGAACATGTGTACTCGAGGTCCCGTTTACACCCAAAACCATCAAAAATATAAAGTATAAAAAGAAACGGTATGCAAGGATCTAAGATATACGCTAAACACTAATAATGTAAAACAATACGATATATTGAGCAGCAGCCAGGACATGAGTCTGTAGTGAGCAGATAATCTGAATGAATACAGCAGTTTAAAGGCAAGAGATCAGCAGCATGGATAATAATCAGCAGCACAAATAAGTCGAGGATCAGCAGCATGGATAAAGTACTGAGAAGTTTTTTGTTTTGTTTTGTTTTCTGATCAGTTATTTAAGGAAAAACCACAACTGCTGTATAAAATATATGTTAGTGATCCGTAAAGTTTGATCATCTTACATTTAATCAGTCTAGCGAGGATCAAAATATTATCTTGAGTTAATCAAGTGCAGCGTGTTTGTTGTGACACATCCCACAAGAAACAGAGAACAGGAGTGAGACGACAGAGACTCTCCGTCTCGCCTTCCTGCTGTCTTCAGCTCTTTTTTCCTCTTGTCCTCGTGTTCTGTAATAACATTCTTTTTAAATGAATTCCTCTCTCCTTCTTAGACGTTCCAGATTCAAATCAGCTTTGTTTAGATGTAACAAAATTGGACACAGTTCAAAATTGTTTTAATCATTTTACTCATGTGGTTGTTTCCTATAGTACACATGATTCAAACTTAAGGCCCGAGGGCCAAATATGGCCTTTGCTAACATTTTATTTGGCCTTAAGACAATATTTTAAAAGTAAATAATCTTTATTCCTTCTCATTTTGCTTAAAAACTGAGCATACCTTACTGAGTGCAGACTTCTTTTGAATACGTTTGCTTTTGAAACTTTAAAATCAGTTTGAATTTATCAGTAAGCTTGGATTTTAATGCAGAAAAAGCGACAGAGAACATCAAATGAGAGTAATCAAACTCTTGCTGAGGGACCTACAACCAAGAAAAGCTGTCAGGTATTTGACTGGAGTTAATGTATTCACTGAAATTGTCCCTTGATTTGAAAAAAAGCTTTTAATTTTGGCCCCTTTTCTAACTGAGTTTGACACCCCAATACAGTGAAAGGACCCAGGGGTGGACGAGAAACTTTCTTTTGGTTTTACGTGGAGATTTACAGGCACAGAGATGAAAAAAAATATATAAATACATTTACTTTAACTTCTTTTCAACATGAGGCTGCAGGGTGGCATCATTTTGAAAAATGATAAAGTCTCTAAAATCTTCATTTAAGAACAGCTGCAGCACAAAATCTATTGAACTTATGCTCAACTACAGCTTGTTTTACTTCTAAATCTTCAATTAAATTTATTTCCAGTTATAAAAATGCACAGAAATGTTTTGCCCATCTAACCCCGTCTAGACGAGTTTCACGTGGGACAACCTAAGTGTTGGTTTCCAGGGTAAGGAGCAGAAGAGCTCTAATCCTTTAACATCAACAGTGGATAAATTGACTCAGTGCAAGTGGTCACTCAGGAGTAATGAGGACAAAATGTCTTTCAGCTCTTTCTCACAACTTTTAGGCACTTTGCAGCTTTTGTTCGGCCTCGGTGCTGCTCTTCCTGCAGAGCGCAGAGATTCACACAAAGTTGGAAACAAGTTGTTGAACATAGCAGAACATGCAGCAGCTAAAAAACTATGGACCAATCATCATCTTCGAAGCATAACTTCCTCCTAGTCCTTTGGGATATTTTAAACACATCTTTCATTCAACCTTTATTTAAACAGATACATCTACATGTTGATTGCTGCTTGTTGATGTAAGTTTAACAGAGCAGTTTAAGAACATCTCCATAAACTTTCTGGAAGGCACCAGGATGCCAAGTGCCTTTTCCACTGAGTGATGAGGGGAAACGGCTACATACTAAAGGCACAGACTTTAAGATGAGGGCATGGAAAGCATATACCAGTAGCTTGTCTATTCTGTAAGTGTGCTACATTCATGTGGCATGTTGCACATGTAACCCAGCTGCAATAATGCCAACGTGTGTATCTGTGTGTGTGTGTGTCTCACTAGATGTCAGAATGTTGAGTGAATGGATGAATGTGTGTGTGTCGGGTTGACAGAGAGAGGACAACGTGTCCAACCAGAGTAGTGATCAAAATACCAGTCAGGGCTGGTTTCAGGGTAAAGATCAGGCCTGGCACACTGATCACAGCATCTTCCCATTTTATCTCCCGCTGCTTAAAGGCCAAGGTGGCTGATGATATTTGTGACCATTTGTCTGTGTGTTTGTGCTTGTTACCAAATATCCACTGTAAAAATAATAATAATTGTACATTTTATAATGAAACGTACAGAAAGTAATCGTTGGATGTTACTTTTCAACTGCTGAACCATTCCAGTTATTCCAATTAGCTGCAACATTAGCAACACATAACTTATTCAGTTTTGCAGATATTGTTCTAAACTTTATTATGGTAGTAGCTGAGAGACATTCACAACTTTAGGCATGCCATCTGGCAATATTGCACAAGATTGCTCAGTTTAAAGCTCTGGTGTGAACGGCGATGGACAATATGCATTCCTTCTTTGGCTTGTTTTGCACCTGCAAGACCTCCACACCTGTAAACCAATTCATTCCTCACATGTGACGCCATCTGTCTGACAGCTGAAACTTCAGACAAAGTGGCTCCTGAAGCAGGACAAAGATCCTAAACACAGCATCAAATTCTCAACAGGGTGGCTGGGAAAAATAAAGAATCAGTATAACGTCACAGTCAAAGTCCAGACCTCAAGTCGACTAAAATGCTGAAGCAGGACTCAGAGAAAGCTGTGAATTAACAAATCCTTCAATTGTTAACAAGCTGAAAGACCAACAAGAAGAGTGGGCCAGAGCAGCGTGACAAACGATTATACAGAAGATGATTCTCTGGCCACCATGAAGTCAGCCCCACGTCCATGTTTGAATCCACCAGAGTTCACTTTAAAATGAAGACAAGCAGATGTGGACCAGTTTTTCAATAACTACCATGAAACTGTGTTCATTTTGTGTTTTTATAGGTCCTTTTGCTTTTGAGATAAGTTGGAGACATTTTTTTTTTTCTTTCGTCTTTTCCATTTTTTAGGTCTCCACAGCGAGTCGTCCTCCTCCATCTCACTCTGTCCTCACTCCAGCTACCTCCATGTCCTCTCTATCTTCATCCATATATCTCCTCTTTGTCTTTTTCCTGGAAGCTGCATTTCTAACATCCTTCTACCAGTATACCCACTGTCCCTCCTCTGGACATGTCCAAACCATCTCAGTCTGGTCTCTCTAACTTTATCTCCCAGTTGTTCAACCTGTGCTGTACCTCTGATGATCTCATCTCATCCATCTTTGTCACTCCTAAGGAGAACTTCAACATCTTCATTTTTGCTACTTCCAGTTCTTTCTATGTCCAGTCTTTCTGTCATTGCCACTGTCTTGTAAACTTTTCCTTTGACCTTTAGAGCCACCCTTGTTACAAATCACTCCTGAAAAAGTTCTTCATCCTCCCTGGAATCTCCTTCATCTCTTTTCCATACTTCCCATTTTCCTGGACAGTTTACCCTAGGTAAAGCCTGATGAAACCTTCTGGGTGGAAGGTGAAACGTTTCAGCACAAAAAAAAAGAAACTGTCCAGATGACCTGACTGAAAGTTATTGGATTGTATACCTGGATTATTGAGCATGGACATTGTTGGTTTTGAACCAGTTTGACATGACTGTCGAAGAGGAAGAGGGCCAGCACTGGAGGAGGGGGCGTGCCAAATAGACCATCTTAGCACCAACAGAACTGGTTTGTTCCACTTTGGAGTAAGCTGTTGGGGGAAGAATCAGTTTTGTGTTGTGTGTTTCCTTGACTGATGAAGCCTTCTGGATGGAAGGTGAAACATTTCAGCACAACAGCAAAAAAAGAAACTGTCCAGATGACCTGACTAAAAATTGTTGGATTGTATACCTGGATGATTGAGCATGGACTTTGTTGGTTTACCCTAGGTACCACTGCAACAAAATCACAAGGGGTTTGAGACAAGTTGTGACAACCTACTACTAGTTTACATGTTTAAAATTCAAGCAACGAGGTTGCGAGCCTCCGTGACTCAAGCGGGGAAACTGAAAACCTCCTACAGTCACATCTCAGTGAGACACTGCCTTTAACAACGGGATGATAACTTTATTTTGTTCAAACTTAACCAAACTACTCACGACAGACAAAGCACCGAACACAGGAAAGACAGAAGAAGTCCGTCCATTCATTATATTTACCTGCTTCTTCCTTTCTGGGACGCCGGTGCCCATATCCAGCAGTCACTGTGCACGAGGCGGGACACCCTGGACAGGTCTCCAGTCCATCACAGGGACACATGGAGACAACACTTTCCTTCACACCTAGTCTAACATGCATGTTTTTGGTATGTGGGAGGAAACCGGAGTACCCGGAGAAAACCCACACATGCACGAAGAGAACATACAAACTCCACCCAGAAAGGTCCCCAGCCAGGATTCGATCCAGCAACCTTCTTCATAAGAGGCAACAGTGATTTTGTAGAGTAAGAAAGTTTCACAGTAATCAACACGTCATTATGAAAGTGTAGCTCGTGCTCCTTTAATTTTGTAACCTTTTATCCTTTCTGTGGGCTGTCATTGAGGCTGTGAACCTGTGAAGAGACCACAAGGAGCTTCTCCAACATTCCTCCCATGTTCAGACACAGCATGGGGTTGTCCACAGACAAAGTAAAGACACACACACACACACCTTCCTGCTGTAACCCCCTAAACTTTTTGTCCCCGTCAGACCATTTCAGAACCTTCTCCGTGTCTTTCTCTGGCTACCGGAGGACACTTGAGTTTCTCTCTCCTCGTTTGGCAGCAGTTCAACACATCAGTCCGTGTTAATTAACTTTGAGACACTTTAACTCTCTCCTCTTTATCCAGAAAGCTTTCTGTTGTAAACCTGTACTTAAATTGTCCTGGTATTCTTGCAGCACATTTATATGGACCTGAAGTAGTTTTCCAAGTGAACAATGTAAGCTAAATCCCTCTTGCGTAACCTTCTTGTGTCTGACTTTCACCTTATTGTTTTGTGTGTTTTAGTTTGTCGTGTTGTGGCTGTTTGTGTGCAGCGTGGCCCCTCGGTATGCACATGTATCCCCGTCCTAAATCCCATTAAATCGCTCTCACCTCTGTCTCACCTCCTGCTGCTGAGAGGAATTACCTTTCTCTGTAGCTGGACCTTGTTCTCACATTAATTACTGCCCAAAACACAGGACTACATCAGAATATTATTTTAAATTGCACACGTAAAGTCTAACAGAAAAAGTTACAAAAACACAAAATTTGCTCTTTTGTTTTGTGCATCAACAATCTGAAAGATAATCCAAGTAAATAATAAACAAACGATCATCTATTTAATGTAGGCATTTTATTAAAAAGCAAATAAAGTTGCGACCTTTAGCAGTTTTAATTTAAAATAACTGAAATATTAAGTTTGGTGTTATTTTTGTGCGATTTTAAACTAATTTGCAACTTAATATACAATTGAGTTTGTTATAACCAATTACCAGACAAATATCGATTGTAGATTTTCACCTAAGATCATCTTATAATGAGAGTAACAAGAAGGGATGGAGTTAAACAAGTTTTATGTGCAATCACATACAATGTAGCTAAATTTTACTCTCAGAGAATCTGCTGTGAACATCTCTCAGCTGCAGCCACGTCAAGTTTTAACCCATTATCTGTAAAACTGACCGAGTTTCCACCTATTTTGTGCTGTTAATTTTGATTAGCTGCAGTGGCCATCTTGATTGGAACTGACTCCAGAAGGTAATTATCCATAGATGCACATCCATTGATTTCTTTCTGCAAGTTTCATTAAAATCCATTCAGCGGTTCATGAGATATTTTGCTAACAGACAAACAGGGTTGACTCCCAACAGTTATTGTTAATGCTTTAAGTAAAGATATTTCACAATGTGTATAGCTCAAAGCGTGTGCTGGGGATGATGCTCAGCTACTACCACACTAAACTTTACCTCAATATCTGTAAAACATTGCTGAATGTGACTAATAAAGGTTTTGTTTACCTGTCTCTGTGACCTCCCTGCGCTGTCAGAACCCGGGTCTGGACCTTCAGAGGCAGGAGGCTGAGCAGCAGCAGCCACACCAGAGAGGGGCCCCACATAATGACCCTCAACAGAAACAGCAAGGATCAAATCTCTACTCAAAGTAAATAAAATGTCCAGAAGTGAGCGTTGAATCTAAAACCGCCTCCAGGAGGTGAAATGTCCACTAAAGGTGAAGGACAGCATCGTCAGGTGTGTCTGCTCCATCTGCCCCTCAACACTCTGAAACCTTGAAGCAGCTGGACGTTGCTCATTTATAAAGCCCTGCTGACACAGGAGGAGGAGGAGGAGGAGGGAGGCTTATTTTCTGCCCTTCTCAACAACCAAACCTCCAACAAAACCCACAACTTCATTAAATCTGCTCATCTAACGTTAGGTTTAGAAATAAACCACATCTCGACTTCTTGTGAGGTAACAGATTTTATAGATGACTTTTTTGATTATTTGTCTCACGGTGAACTTAGTTGGTTCCCAGAGGGAGATTAATTTGCTGACATAAGCTGCTGAAGCTATCATTTACAGCAAAGTCCGAAGAAAAAGCTCCTGCTTTCATGGAGCATATTTTCTACACAACAAAGCCTTCATCATGTAGATCTGAGGATGATGAGCTGAAACTGTTGACGTAGGTTTTCTACATTCATCTATGAAAACTGACTCGTGCAAAACATAAGTTTGATTAATGAGGTTGACTCCTCCTTGACTTGGTTCTGTATTTTAACATTTTGAGAAGCTCTGATAAATAAACTTGTCATGACTTTGTTTTCACTGTTTCCTTATTCTTCCAGAAGTTTTTTGACTTTTAACAACACCTGCACACTTTGATATTTTAGCCATTAATCAATCAAAAACATTCAGCTCATAAAAAAAAAATATATATATATATATATATTTTAAATATGTTTTATCTGTTAGCCTTTTGATACTTTTAGCTTTTAGTTTATATTTTGCTAGTTTTAGCACTTAGCTTGAATTTGCTACTTTGTGTTTGTAGTAGACTTTTCGTTATTCTTAGCTTTAAGCTACCCTTTGGCTACTTTTAGATTTTAGCTAACCATTTGCTACTTTTAGCTAGCTTATTCTACTTTAATACTTAATTACCTGTATCTTTTTTTTTTTACTTTTAGATTTAGCTAGCTTTTTGCTTTTTTGTGTTTGTAGTAGGCTTTTTTGTTACTTTCAGCTTTTGACTTTCAGCTACTTTTGAATTTTGGCTATCAATTTGCTACTTTTAGCTAGCCTTTTGCAATTTTAGCTCCTAGCCTCTTGATATGTTTAGCTTTTAGGTTATATTTAGCTAGTTTTAGCATTAAGCTATCATTTGCTACTTTGTGTTTGTAGTGGGCTTTTTTGTTACTCAGCTTTTAGATATCTTTTGCCTACTTTTGGATTTTAGCTATCCATTTGCAACCTTTAGCTAGCTTCTTGCAATTTTAGCTCATAGTCTCTTGATACTTTTAGATTTTAATTTACCTTTTGCTAGTTTTAGCATTTAGCTATCATTTGCATTTGCAGCTTTGTGTTTGTAGTAGGCTTTTTCTCAAGTTTTAGCTAACCTTTGGCTACTTTTAGATTTTAGCTAAACTTTTGCTAATTTTAGCTAGCTTTTTGCTACTTTAACTCTTAATTATCTTTTTGTTACTTCTAGCTTTTAGCTAGCTTTTTGCTACTTTGACCTTCTTTATAGCCTTTTTAACTATTATCTTTTGGCTAATGTTTTGCTACTTTTAGCTTTAACTGCTCAGTTTCAGCTTCTTCAGCAGCCATTCAGCGTTCACTCCATTTCTCCAGTTATTTCGGAAAACAAGAACAACTTCTAACCTGAAAATTCTCCTTTTATTATACCAAAACCAAGCTAGATTTGAAATAAGCTGCTAAATTTAAGCCTTGTAAAAGTCCAGAGAAGTTAAAAAAAGACTCTGTCAAACTTTAAAATGTTTGGATGGTTGTATTATCCATGGACAACACTTTATAACACAAAAACAAACTCATTCAAAGCTGTGTGCATGCAGCAACAAACAAAGCTGACATTTCTTTTCTCACCTGAACACGACTCCGACTCCATAAGACTAGAAAATAAAACATCACCTCTAACCCACGCAGTTTGAAGACACCAAGAACAGAAACAGGATGTTCTGGTTTGGACCAGTCCTCTGCACAGCAATTTGATGGATTCAAACTGTAACGTTTGTCCTAAAAAGCAAAAAATGAACTTGTGCAGGAATAACTCAGAGAGCTGACTCAGCAGCTTTTCTTCATCAGTTCTGAGGGTTCAGATTCAAAGATCTGCAGATGTCAGTACACATTAACGAACTCGTGCACCTTCTGCGGATCTGCCAGTTTCTCTCCTATTCTGGTGTCTGGCTGAAATTGTTTAAAAGTCAAAGATCCACTGAAACGATCGTGTTCTCATTTCAGCTTGAGAAAGAACTTCTCTTCTCTGCGGAGGAGGACACTCAGTCTGAATCTAATTAAACGTCTGATGATCTGTACGTGGAGGTGGCTTCAGCTCTTCATTAAAGGCCTGTGTGAGTGTGTGTGACTCAGCAGTTTGCAGTCCAAGCTCAGTTTGCAGCTCAGCTCAGTCCAGCAGGTGCATTAACATCTCTTCAGTGGACACAAAGAACAAACGTCTGAGTGTGTGAGTGTATTTTTAAACTGTCCAGATTTATTTTCTCTTCATCTGAGCCCCAGCGGGAAACAAAATACTTTGTAAAGTTTCAGTTTCCCTCTAAAATTAGAGAGGAAATTTAAAGTCCTGTATTAATAATCTCAGAAACAACCATCAATACAGAGTTTCAAGAAAAGAAAAGAAAAAATGTCAATTTCTGACGTTAAATTCAAAATAAGAGTTTGTTTAATTAGTATCGAAGCAGGGGCGTCTTTACTGCTGGGTGTCCTCCCCCTGAAAATTGTGAATAAACTAGATGCCATTTCCTGCATTCTGATGTATTTCAACGGGTTGTAAACACTTGATTCTATAAATGTTAAAGAGAGACAGGTTCCTCATTCAACTAGTCCATATATGTCATATGTCAAGTATGTCATATATATCACTGTGCCAAGCAATAGTGATATATATACTGTATATACATATATTTTTTAGTTTATTTTTTAGTTTTTTCAACCTGCATGTAAAACAAAATAATTTACAGATTCCTTTCTACCTTGGTGCCACCACAATTTTTACCACTTCATAATTTTTATTGCCTTCACAATCTTCTTAATAACATCCATCTCCCTTCCCCCCTTGTTTTCCTTTCCACTATTCTTTCCTCATACGCTGATATTACCAATTTTACTTTTCAGAAAACATGATACTTGGGTTCTTTCTCCATAACATGATATTTATCCTTCATGGTATTCTCTTTGACCCCATCAGCTTGACTTTTCAAATCTTAGGGCAAAGACAAAACAAGCTCAAATTAGAAAAAGCTTCCAAAAATGATCCACCTTCTGGCAAATCTCCCTCATGTCCTGTTCAAGTCTATCTTGGTGTATGTGGCAGACAGCTACATTGTTCAACTGTTGCTGTTTCATGGAGGAGTGAAGCCATGTCTTAAGCCTTCTTGAAGCACTAAACCTTCTTTCAGCCTCAGCTGAAGAGCACGGCACAACAAGAAGTAGCCTGACCAACACCTAGGCTGCATCACAGTCAGGTATGGAAACTGCACCAGTCAGAGCCAGAAAGCTCTACAGAGAGTGGTGCAAACAGCAGAGGACATCACTGGTAGCAGTCTCCACACCATCCAGGACATACCACAGCCAGCATGCGTACAGCATCATTAAGGACCACACCCACCCAGCACAATGACTTTTCCATCTACTACCCTCATGCAGACGGTACAGGAGCCTGCCAACGCACACAAAAAGACTCAGACAGTCATTACCCACAAACTGTCAGATTACTGAACTCTTGATTGCACTAAGGCACATCTGTGACGCCTCATGTGTGTATTACTGCTGCACTATGTGGCTGTATCATGTATGTCACTACCTTACCGTCATAATTCAATTAATCTCAATGTTACTCACTACCTGTGTAGTATATGTTATGTGCAATATATATCATGTGCATTCACCGGTAAGCTAATATTACTACCTGTGAAATACTTATTTATAGTAATTACAGTAATCCTATTTGCATTGTTATATTCTGCCATGTTCTTTACTATATTTCTTTTGGACCTTGTAAATATTATATTTCTTTTCACTTTTGGTACATTGTTTTGTACTTTTGCTTTAGTATTTCTGTTTTGTTTTTAGCACGTCAAAAAGGTCCTTCTCATCCTGAACATTTCATTGCATTTCTGACCTTGTATTAACCTGCATATGACAAATAAACAATAAACTAAACTAATAAGCCTCTACTTGTGTGAATAAAGCGTGTACCTCTGGCAGCATAGCTCTGAGACTCTCTGCTACTTCACTAACTGTTGCTTCATTGTAAAGACTCTCCTAATGTCCATTGTGTCTGGGAATAGATCAGATATTGCAAACAATTATTTGTCATCCAAGAATACCAATCTATACTAGTACTAGTCTACTGTTAATTAAAATAAAGTAGCCATGTCCTGATTTTTTTATTGTTTAGTTAAACAATAATTTAACATGGTCTAGGGCTAGTATTAAAAAAATAAGGTTTTAACAAAAGCTGGACATTGTGAGATATCACTGGGATGGGACTAATGTTACCTCCTCCAGTTTTTAGTCATTTATGCTCGCATGGCATACGGTGTGGTGAGTTGTTGTTGTATGAGTATTAATCAAGTGGAATTAAGTTATTCACAAAGCAAAAGAAACAGCTCTGGGTGAACTAATATTTCATGGTAAATGTGGAGGGGGTCCAACTGAATATTTTTTAAATGTGCAAGTGCACGTCCCCTTCACAAATAGTCAATGCGACACCTATGTAGATAAATGTAAAAAAACAACAACGAATTATTATGAGATATTTGGCTGGCAGAGACTGGGGAGCAGATAGAGGAGCTTTAGAACAAATATGTGCAGGATTATAATTTATGGGTCAACTGCAAAGACACATCTGGAAAATTTAGTCGTAATTCAACATCAAGCATTAAGACTTTGCACAGGAGCATAACTACACAGCAGCAACACGT